TTCCTGCATGGCAGGGGGGTTGGACTGGATGGCCCTTGTGATCTCTTCTAACTCTATGATTACACATCTGTATCCCACTAATGGTATTTAAATCAGAGTTGTTCACTTTGTACAAAAGATGAGTGGTATGTGGCGCTATTTGCATCTTGAGCCAATGAATAATGAAATTCAGTGTTCTCAATAGTTGATCTGTTCTGTGGGTATAATGAAAGAGCCAGTGTGGTTTAGTGGTTTGAATGCTGGACTCTGACTCTGGAGACTAGGGTTCAATTCCTGGCTTGACCATGAAACCCATTGGGTGGCCTTGGTTAAGTCACATGCTCTCAGCCTCAGGGGAAGGCAAATCCATGATAGGTTCACCTTAGGGTTGCCATAAGTTGGAAATGACTTGAAGGCACACAACAACAACAGCAACAACATTAGTCAATCTGTGCTGTGGGTATAATGTACATTGCAAAACTACTGGATAATTTCATGTTGGGCATCCTTGTCTGTTGGGTGGATGCTGAGCTCTTCTCCATTCAATTGGTAATGTTGAAAAGACCCAGGGAGTAGAGTTGCCAGTGCATTTTGCCTAAAGTGAAATTGCAGTGCAAATTTTGAGGTACCTGCTTGATTTATTCTAGCATGACAAAGAGCAGAGAGTAACAAAGGGAAGGCACACAATAATAATAGAAAGTTAATGAGCTAACAGAATATGTATTTAATAGAGAGAAAAACTAACATTCTCTCTAGGAAACACACACAAAGAATAATAGGCTAGATAATAACTTTGGAGACATTGCTTACAGTAACTTACTCTTGCATGTCTTGTTACCATAGACAAAATGAATTGGAGACTTTGAGTAGACATAATGAAAATTCTCTGTATTTTTTCTCAGTTGAGAGGACTCATTGAGGCTCAGTATTAATGAGTCATGATACATTCAGCAGAAAAGTATACTTGCATCTTCCATCCAACCCTTTGTGAGACTCAGGATTTACCATCGCAAGGAGGGTGAAAATATACATGCTTGATGCCCCCCCCCAAAAGTCCAAGGCTGCATCCGTACTGCAGAAATATTCCAATTTGACAACACAACAACAGTAATGGCTCCATCCTATGGAATCTTGAGATTTGTAGTTGTGGCACCAGAGCTCTCTGGCAGAGAAGGCTAAAGGTCCCATAAAACTACAATTGCTGAAATTCCATGGCATTGAGCAGTGGCAATTAAAGTGCTGTCAAACTGGATTATTTGTGCAGTATGGATGCAGTCTCACCTCTGTTTTACATGGGTTTTTCTCATTCATATTCTCCCTTTCTCAGAAATGAACAAGGGGCAACTGTCTGTAAAGAGCCAGGAATCCTGAGGCCAGGATGGTGAGCAGTCAAGATGAAAGAAAGAATTTAGGAGGACTGGAGAAAAAGCCAGGAGACACAACCAAATGTCAAAGGGTAAAACCAGTGGTAAAAACAGAGAACAAGCCAGATGTCAGCCCTAGAATGGTGAAAACAAACACAACCCACAGTAGTTGAAGATATTTAGGGATACATTTCTTCACCAATTTTTTTCTCAAAAGAAGCAACACATAATTTCACCAGACTGTCCTTTTCATTGTGAGAAAGTATTTGAAAGCTACAGTGGACTGCCCTTTTTAAGATGTCTTTAAACAGAGGTTGGGTAATAATAATAATAATAATAATAATAATAATAATAATAATAAGTTTATTTTTATCCCACCCCTCTGCATACACAATCATATGGTGGGTATTTTTCAAGAGTTCTTTAATTGTCTATGACAGAGAGTTTGAGTAGATGCTCTTGTGGTCCTTTGAATTCTAAGATTTTGTGGAGCCATGATTCAATTTGTAGTTCAAGAATTATTCTGTGCCCCCCCCCAAAAAAAACATGTAGTTGTCTTGTGCAGAAAATAGCATTTATTTAGTGTTTGTTTGTTTGATTCTTTACAGCAATTGGTTGCATATTCTGCACCGAGTAGGATACAAGAAAAAAAATGCTCTTTTTCTGTTAAAAACAAGTATATTAGAATATTGTACAGAGTAAACCCTGAACAGCAAAAATTGTCATCAATCCAGGATTCTTACCTGATTTTCCTGACACTTGAGAAACATGGATTTCAGCCTTCCTTCCTTCCTTCCTTCCTTTCCCTAGACTGACTAAAGGCTGTCTTGGTCCAATGAAACAGTCTGTTGAAGATTCTATAAACCCCACCACAAAGTCTCACCTGCAGCACAAGACTGAAAAACCAAGAACTTTTTCCCTTAAGGAGTTTTCCACCAATTGTGAAAGAGTGTCTACACTAAACTCACAATTGGTTCTTGCAGTGCAAAACACCAGGGCTGCTGCCAGACTACAGAATTAATGCATTTTGATACCACTTTAATTTTCATGGCCCCATCCTATGGAATCCTGGGCATTGTAGTTTGTTGTGGCATCAGAGCTCTCTGACAGAGAAGGCTAAAAATGACACAAAACTACAAATCTCAGAATTCCATGACATTGAGCCATGGCAATTAGAGTGGTGTCAAACTGCATCAATTTTTTTCTGTGGCTGGCATCTACTAGAAGCCAGCCACAGATGCTGGTGAAATGTCAGAAATAAACTCTTCTAGAACATGGCCACACAGCCTGAAAAAAAAAAACACAAAAAACTATGGATGCTGGCCATGAAAGCCTTTGACTTCACACTGCATCAATTCTGCTGTATAGATGCCACCATGTTTAAGAATAGCATCCTTAGTAACAATAAAAAGAGGCTAGAAATGCAGATATGTCCCAGTGCTCAGTTACACTTTGTAGTCAAGGCAAGTAATCAGGGAGACAGCAAGTCTCTCTGGCTGCATCCACACTGCAGAAACAATTCAATTTTATACAACTTTAACTGTCATTGCTCCATGCTATGGAATTCTGAGAATTGTAGTTTTGTGAAACATTTAGCCTTCTCTATCAGAGCGCTTTGGTGCCACAACAAACTAGAAGTCCATAGCATTGAACCATGGCAGTTAAAATGGTGTCAAACTGGATTATTTCTGTAATGTGGATACAACCTTGGTTGTTGTGGGGAAGGAAGGAATGGCAAGTGGAGGTGGTAAAGGCACATTGATGTCAAAATACCTTTTCCTGAGAGGCTGTAGTTAGAGCCCTTCATGTGGACAAAGTCCCTGAAAACCTTTAGTGGAATAGGTCACCATGGAGGGGAAAATTCAGGAAGTTCTGTTCTGTCTGAGCTTCCTTCGATGTGACTCACATATTCCTAGGGTGCATCTACACTGTAGAAATAATTCAGCTTGATACTACTTTAAGTGCTATAACTCCATTTTTTTTTTTGGAATCTTGGGGTTGGTAGATTTACAAGGTCTTTAGCCTCTCTGTCAGAAGTGTCTCACAAAACTACAGATCCCAGGATTCTGTGGGATGGAGCCATGGCAGTTAAAGTGGTGTCAAACTACATTATTTCTACAATGCAAATGCACCCCTAGTGTGAAGGTCATTTTTATTAAGAACTAGTCTCAGGCCTCATTCCCACTATGATTTAAAGCGAATT